TTCTCTCTGTGGGTCGCTGTACCCCTTTCCCTCTGGGTCTCTGTCGTTCTCTCTCTGGGTCTCTGTCCTCCTCCCACTCTGGTCTCTGTCCTCCCCTCTCTCTGGGTCTATGTTCTCACCCACCCCCCCCTCTGCATTTTGATTCCTTCCTTTCCCTGTCTCTGTTCCTCTTTGTGCTCCCTGCGCGCTGTCTTTGATCCCTGCCTTTTGCTGCAGCCTCGTGTGACCCCAGAGGGAGAATACATCCCACTGGACCACCAGGATGTGGATGTGGGCTTCGATGGCGGCACCGATCGCATCTTCCTCGTGTCTCCCATCACCATCGTGCATGAGATCGACTCTGCCAGTCCCCTGTATGAGTTTGGTCGTGCGGAGCTGGCCCGGGCAGTCTTTGAGCTGGTGGTCATTCTTGAGGGCATGGTGGAGGCTACAGCCATGACCACACAGTGCCGCTCCTCCTACCTCCCAGGCGAGCTGCTCTGGGGCCATCGTTTTGAGCCAGTTCTCTTCCAGCGTGGCTCTCAGTATGAGGTTGACTATCGTCACTTCCATTGCACTTATGAGGTCCCAGGGACGCCTGTCTGCAGCGCCAAGGAGCTGGATGAATGGGCAGAGCAGGCGTCCCACAGCCCCAAGTCGAGCTTCCCTGGCTCTCTGGCTGCGTTTTGTTATGAGAATGAACTTGCTGTGAGCTGGTGCCAGGAGGAAGAGGAGGAAGAGGACGCCAAGGAGGGGGATGGGGCGGAGGCAGAAGATGGGGCTGCCAGTCCCTGAGTTCTCACACCGACCCTGGCGCTGACCCTGCCTCTGTGACATGAGCTGGTAGCACCCATCTGTGCCTCCTTCCCAGAGGTTTCAAGATGGAGAGATGGGGCCCTCTCCTGGGATGGGGCGGGTGTTTTCCCAAGGCCAGTGGGCCTGCTGGGTAAATTATTATCTGAGCAGGCCTTGCCCTGCCTGGTGGACCCACCACAGACATACTGGACCTTAATTCCTCTGCATTCCATGGTCCCCCGTGAGACCCCCCCTTATAAGCCTCATTCCTATGTCTAATCAGAGCTGAGGGATCCAGAATCCTGGACCACAAAAGAGGCAAGAACTAGTGGTTCTGGATTCCTCTGTATGGCTGATCTTGGGTTGTTAGAATCAGTGGGTTAGGAATCAATGGTCTCCACTGTCTCTAGGAGAGGAAGTTTCCAGTTCTTGAACAGCAACAAGGATTAAGAGTTTATAGGTCTGAATTGGCCTAAAATTCAAGGGACTCGCCCAACAGCTTCCAAACTCATCCAACTAAGTAGCAAATTATTGGTTCTAGATCACTCAGAGGGAAGATTATGGAATTCCCCAAGTATTCAAACCCCTCTCTGTTGACCAAAGACAAGGACTGGTGACTGCAAGCCAAGAGAAGACTCTGTGGTTCCAGAGAGCCCAAGAGTTGTGATTCTGTGAATCTAGACTGTCCACAGAGGCAAGCACTGGTGATTCTAGACCAGGTTTGATCTCAGGAGTTGAACCACCCCAGAAATTAAAGAGTTATGTTTCTAGAATGCACAAAGCACTGGGGAGTCTGTGGGTCTAGAAGGACAGCAGTGACAGATTGGGAGTTCTTGATACTATATAACTCCAGACAGACTGTTGAACATCCAACTGAGAGGATAATCAGTGCTTCTAAATGATCCACAGGAAGTTGGGGAAAAAAAGTGCCATTCTAGAATGCCCAAAGGAATTCAGAGTCTGTGGGTCTAGACTGATCACAGAGTCAAGAAAAGGATGGTTCTAGACGTCTAAGGTTTGCTTGTTCCAGTTTGCCCAATGGTGTTGAGACTCTCAATGATTCTGGATTATGAACTGATACAACAAATTTCTTTGTGGTTCTGTAATGCCAAAAGGAATCGAGGCTCTAGGGATCCAGAGTTGTCTATTACCAAAGCCTGGAAGTTCGAATCACCTCCAGATGGGACTCTTGGCCATTCTAGGAGATGGACTCAGGAATTGAGAAGCAGCATTTCTGGGCTGCCCAAGAAGGTGAGGACCCAGATAGACCCTGTAGGCAACAGGGCTAATTAGTGGGCAAGGGGAGGAGGAGGCCCAAGAGTGGTGAGTCTAGAATGCTCTGGAATCCTACACCTAGTTATGTGCAGCTATTTCTTAAAGATGTTATACATATATGTATCATATATATATAATATAAATACAGATATCTATTTTTCTCCGCTGGTTCCTACAGCAGGGTTAGAAATTGAACTTGAGGTCATTGGAATGAGTCCTTTGCAAGAATCCAGGAAGCCTTGCTCTCTATCCTAACTCTGCCGTAACTTATTTACTGTGTGACCTTGGTTAAATCACTCCCCTCTCTTCACCTCAGTTTCCCCATCTGTAAAATGGGGCATTGGAACTTGAACATCTCTAAGGGCCCTTCCAGCAGAATGGTTCCTTACCTCACTGAGGGTGGGGTGGAGGTGAGGGTCCTGGGGATTTCCCGGCTCTCCCTGGTGCTGGCACACCCGGTCTTCTGGAGTGGCTGAGAAGGGAGATGCCCATGGAAGCTGGCACTGAACTAGGTGTCTGAGTCATGGCACAGACAATGGGTAGCGTTGGCTGTGGCCAAGGAAGAGATCACCTCCTCTCTGATCTAGCTCAAGGGGCTGGGAATAGAGGGCTGAGCTTGGAAGGCCAGGGATCATCCCACTGTGGGGGACAGTGTTTTTTGGGGAGCGAGAGCTGTCCCCAAGATTAGAGAACCGGCAGCCCCGCTGGGTGTGTCTGTGAGTGTATTTCTGGGACACGAGTCCTGGGACCTGGCCCCGGCCCATGTTCTCATCTACCTAAGTACTCCGTAGGCTGAGAACCAGCCGCAGAGGGAGCCAGTGCCAGGGGGAGGACAGTTCCCACCCCAATGTTCCAGGACTGAGGACACGCACTGTCATTGCCATGAGCCTGCCCAAGTGCTGCATCAACGCAGGTTCCCCCTCCTGGTGTCCCCACCTCCCCTTTATCCTTGAGAATCCCCACTTAATGACCGGAAGGGATTAATTAGCTGGCTTCTCTCCCAGTTTACGGTGTCTGGGGTAGGGACTGGGGGCAATGGAAACATAGCCCCCAAGGTTGTGGGGAAGGGTGTTAAGACGGGGTGAAGGGATGGAGAGGGCGATATTTGGACGGAGAAGAGAGGAGGCAGGGCTGGCACCATCTGGGTCTTATCTGGGGAGGGCAGGGTTTGGGTTTATTCTAAAGGTCACTGAGGAGATGAAGAGGCTCCATGTCTAATCCATCAGTTTAACCGGGTCCTGGCCCTGAATCTGTTCCCACCTGCCTAGCCCAGGAACAGTGAATGAGGATGGGGTCTAGACATCCCCGCAGCCCCAATGAGGGACCTGCCCCTCAACAGGTTCCCAGTCTCCGTTCCCACATCCGTTTTCCCTGCAGGGAACGGAAAGAAGAGGCTGGGGAGGGGGCGGGGCCTCCAATGTGGGAGGATTCTTGAGAGGAGGGAGGAGTCTGAGAAGGGGAAGAGTATGGGAGAAAGGGGGAACCAGAAGGAAGGGATTCTGAGAGGAATAAGCCATCAGAAAGGTGGGAGGATGTGAGGAAAGGGGAGTTATTTTAGGGGCAGGATGCTTGCAAAAGGGAGGAGTCTTGGGAAGAGGACTTTAAGGCAGGGGAGGATGCTGAGCTGAGAAGTTTGAGGGGGGAGGAGTTTAAGAGGAGGGGAGGGGAGGGGCCTGAGAGGGAGAAGGCTCCAGGAAGGCGGAGCTTGCGCTTTCACTGTATTTGGCTTTCCCTTGTAGCCTCATTCTCTATGACAGATGGCAAGTAGCACAGGGTCGTCCGAAAGAAAAAGTCTTTTGTTTCACCACTGCCTGACTCTGAAGAGCCTGAAGTGGATAGGGCGGTCTTGAGAGGGAGTAAAAATAAAGGGTCTGGAGACTGGCGGAGCCGAGAGGTGGGGGAAGTACCCGGAGGAAAGAGCTAGGGCAAAAGAAAACTGAGCCAACATACCCACCGGTTGCCTGGCAACCGCTGCCGTCAAAAGCCAGCGTGGCCAACTAGGAGGTGTGACTCACTGAAACAACTAACAGTTGTGGCCCCGCCCCCTAGCAACAAGATCCACAAAGTACCGCCCCCCAGCAACTAGAAGTGGGGCTCGGTTGAACTAGTCTTCGGGCAGCCAGAGGCCTTGCGCAGGCGCACTTCTCTCTGCTGGCGTATACTTCCACCTTCATGCAACTCCCATCCGAGGCTTCTCATTGGCGAGCCATCCTGCCAAGCTCTTTCTTTTGTTCCGGAGGCGGTGCCTTGCGCCCTGCTCGCGCTCCGACTGGCCTCACAGACCGTCTACCTCCGGCCCGATAGGCGTACATTTACTCTTTGCGCTCCCATTGGCCCTGGAGGACGGTTTTTCGGTTTCGGGGCGGAGCAGACGAGAGGGCCCGCCGTGGATTGGACGGTGTCAAAACGAGGGGCGGTCCCTACTGGCGGGGCGGTTGGGAGGCGAAGGGAGAGTCTTTTCAGCGCTGAGGACTGGCGCTGAGGAGGCGGCGGTGGCTCCCGGGGCGTTTGAGCGGGCTCATCCGAGCCCGCGGGCCAACGCGGATCCCAGTCCGACTGGCGGGACCGCCCCGGACTCCCCGCGGGCCTTCCTAGCCGCCATGGAGGACGGTGTCTATGGTAGGTCGGGGAGGGGCGGGGCCGGCAGGGAAGTGGATGGAACGTTTCTTCGCGAACGTTCCGCCGCGAATGTTCCCTACCGGCCCGCGCCGCGCGGAAACGTTCGGCCCCGTCGACGCCTTGCCTTTGTAGGGCGCAGGCCTGGTTTCCGGCGGGGCCCGACAGCGGGGCGTTCCAGGCCATTGTTTGGGCCGAGTCTGTTTCCGGTGGCGGCGGGAGGGGGCGGAATGAGTGGCGCAGGCGAGGCCGGGGCCGAACCATCCCCGCCGGCGGGGCCGGGCGAGCCTAGTGCCTGCCGGGAGCAGGAAAGGCGCAGCAGGGGTCAGCTGGCTGGGGAGAGATTGGGGTCTGGAGGTCCCGCTAAGGTGGGGGCCGGGGCCTTCGATGCCCCGCCCACCTGGACCAACTCTTGCAAGCTGGCATCAGCGTTCTCTGCTTCAGTTATTTCTCATGGACGCAGGAGTCCAGACCCCTAGCCCCGTCTTCACTCAGCACCCAGGAGCCCAGCCACCCAGCTACCTCGCCAGTAATGGAGTCAGGAAGCCAAAGGCCTTGGTCCCCTCCCAAGTAAAGGACTCAGAAGTTCAGATTCCCAGCCCTTTTCTCCCCCAGACTTAAGAATTCAGGTTCCCAGTCCCCTTTTCCAGATTCAGGACTCCAGAGGCCAAGTCCCCTCCTCCCCCAGGGCTTCCAAATCTAGATCCCCAGCACCTTCTTCCCATAGAAGTCCTGATCCTCATTCTCCCCCTGGACTTCAGAGCCCTGTCCCCGGTGCCATCCTCCTTCCAGTCCTCCCAGGCCTGACCTCCAATTCCTGACTCCGACCCCTAGAACCCCCAGACCTGACTCCAGAGGAGCGCATGGAGCTGGAGAACATCCGGCGGCGGAAGCAGGAGCTGCTGGTGGAGATCCAGCGCCTGCGGGAGGAGCTCAGCGAGGCCATGAGTGAGGTTGAGGGTCTGGAGGCCAATGAGGGCAGGTGAGGACCAGGGTGAGGGACACGGGTTGCAGGGGCTCGTGCCAGGGCTGCCCAAGCATTGACCCTTTGACCGCACTCTGCCCCTGCAGTAAGACCTTGCAGCGGAACCGGAAGATGGCGATGGGCAGGAAGAAGTTCAACATGGACCCCAAGAAGGTGCTTGGGGCCACAGGGGCTGGGGTCCAAGCAGGGGCTTCCAGCATCTCCAGGTTCCAGTAGTGTGGTGGCTGTGGGTCTACTCTGGGTGGACAGATTTTGCCCTCATCCCTGGATTCAGATATTGGTTGTCCATTTGTTCTCTGAATATTCGTCAAGTGTTCCAGCCTCCAGACCTTTGCTTGCGCTATGTCTCCTGTCTGGGAGATCCTCTTCCTCTTTCTACTCACATTTATGTAGCCACTTCTGGTGTCACCTAGGGTCCCAAGAGGAGCTTGGGTCTGGTAGGGGACATGGACAGTGACATGCACAAAGAAGGGTTGACTGGTGCTCTCATAGAGGAAGGTAGTGGGGCTGTGGATCAGGGAGGGCTTCCCAGAGGAGGGGACATTCAGGTCAGGCGTGAAGGATAAATACGTGTTCATCAGATAGAGGAAGGATGTTCACTCAGTCATTCATTTAATGCCTGTTTCCTGAGGCTGCCTGCAGGCCTGGCCCTGTGCTAGGCAATGCTGAGAACCTAGAGAGGAGTTAAACCCTGCCCAGCCACAGTCATCACAATCCAGAGTGGTATATAGTGAAAATGGAGGTCCTCATGGTGTGGGGGCCAGCCAGAGGAGCCCCAACTCACCAACTGGTGTGTGATAGGAGTTTCTCACTTCACTCGTCTTGCACGAAGCATTTGTAGTTTGTTCACTCATCCAGTAAGCATTTATCCAGTGCCTCTTGGTGGCCAGGCCCTGTTCTCGGTGCTGGAATTCACCAGGCAGAGGCAGAGAGAGCAGCAGGTGCAAAGGCCATAGAGTGGGAGGAGTGGTCTTCGAGGACCTGTGAGCAGATTAGGAATGAAACCTGGCTCTGCTCTGTTGAGAGTGGGGGTGGGCTGGGATGCTGAGGTTCTGGAGCTGTAAGGGGGAGTGGCTCTCTGGCCCTCAGCACTGAGCCCTAGCGCCCACCCACCAGGGGATCCAGTTCTTGGTGGAGAACGAACTGCTACAGAACACACCCGAGGAGATTGCCCGCTTCCTGTACAAGGGCGAGGGGTTGAACAAGACGGCCATCGGGGACTACCTGGGGGAGAGGTGAGAGCATGCGGCTCCTGCCAGGCCCCTCCCTGCTTCCCCTCACACCCGTCTCCTGCCCCCTCCTTTCCAGCTCTTTATGGAACACTCTACAGCCTCCCCGGAGAGGCCGTGATAGACACCACAAACGACCGACTCGTCCTTCTGGCCCAGCTGTAACAGGAGGGCCTGGGACAGGTCTCGGGCTGTGTCTCGGGGTGCTTAGGACTACCTGGGGAACCTGGGGGCTGTCTGGGATCATCTGGGAGTATGCGGGTGTCTGTGTATGTCTGGGGACAGTGGAGATTGCCTATGAGCGTCTAGAAACATGAGAACCATGTATAGATGGGTGTGCGTGGGACTGTGAGGGTATCTGGAGAGAGTGGGGACCGTCTGGAAGTCTAGGGTACACGGGCCTGGACATCAGAGGTGTGTGGGGACTGTCTGTGATGTCTGGAGGAAATGGGCTGTCTGGGCATCTAAGTTGCATGGGATCATCTGTGGATTTTGGGATGCATGGGGACTGTCCGCACATCGGCACATGGAACTGGACATCTGGGGTGCATGGGGAACATCTGTGGACATCCAGGGTACATGGGGACCATCTGTGGGCATCTGAGGTATGTGGGGACCATCTGGACATCAGGGGTATATAGGCACCATCTGTGGACCTCTGAGGTGCATGGGGTCTGTCTCTGGCCATCTAGGGGTCATCTGCGGACATCTGGGAAGCCCGGGGAATCATCTGAGAGGTTATGGTAGATGGAGTGAATGTTTTCTGAATTTCTCCCAGCTGTACAAAGGTCAGGCCAAACCAGGGTTCTTGCAGCAGATGGTCCTCCCAAGAGCGGGTTCTAAGCATCCCACCCCGGCACCTGGCCTAGGATGAAGGCCATCCTGAGTTTCACACACAGCACTAGGGGTGCCAGAGAGGTCACATGGCCTCCCTGATGCTCTGTTTGCTGTCCACTCCCCCTTCAGCCTCCCCACGCTCATTCCTGTCCATGACTTTGTCCCTCTCCTCCCAGGGAAGAGCTGAACCTGGCAGTGCTCCACGCCTTCGTGGATCTGCATGAGTTCACCGATCTCAACCTGGTCCAGGCGCTCAGGTGAGGGGGAGGGGCTGGGAGGGCAGGAGTGTACCTGTCAGGGCCTTCTCGGTTGCAGGTGACAAACCCTGGACAAGACAAAAACAGAAACAAAAGATGAGGGAATTGATGCTACCTGGAACTTAGAAGTTCAGGCAGAGCTGTATCCAGGTGCTCAAATGGTATTAGAAGATCAACTTTCTTAGTATTTTTTGGTTGTGCTCACTTTTGTGTTGGTATTCTTTTTTGTACATCTTTCTTCTGCATAATAATAGAAGCCCTTAGCAACTACCAGATTTGCTTAACAACTTTACCAAAAAGAAAGGGCTATGTTTTCTTTATCAGGAAAAAAAAAAATCAAACAGGTTACTGTTTTGGTGATTCTGACTCATAGCAATTCTATGGGACAGAGTAGAACTGCCCCACAGGGTTTCCAAAGGTGTAATCTTTACGGAAGCAGACTGCCACATCTTTCTCCTGTGGAACGGCTTATGGATTCGAACTCCTGACCTTTTGGTTAGCAGCAAGCGCTTAACCACTATGTCACCAGGGCTCCTTTGTTTCCTTATAGATTCATCAGGAGTCCCAGGGTCAGTGCTCATTGGTCAGATTAGATCATGTGTCCGTCCCTGGAAAGTCTGTTGAGGCCAAGAGATTGGAACTCACATTGGCCAGTTCCAAACGCAGAAATTGAGAGTGGGGGAGAGCGTTCTGCCAGCCCTAGATGCACATCCTACCCCTCTCTAATCCAGGCAATTTCTGTGGAGCTTCCGCCTCCCTGGAGAGGCCCAGAAAATTGACCGGATGATGGAGGCCTTCGCCCAGCGATACTGCCTGTGCAACCCTGGGGTTTTCCAGTCCACAGGTGGGGCTCTGGGCTCCTGAGTCCAGGAGAGGAGGAAACTAGGGGCCCTATTCCTGGGATGCTAGGACACAGACTTGGGGGCTGGGGACCAGGACTCCTGGGGGCTGGGGAGGAAGGGACTGGCGGCTTTGATTCCTGGGTCCTGGGGAGCAGTGGGCTGGGGACCCGGATTCCTGGGTCTTAGGGAGCAGGGGCCTGGGTGCCCAGATCTCCGGATCGTCCGTCACCCCCTGACCTGTCTGGTGCAGACACGTGCTATGTGCTGTCCTTCGCTGTGATCATGCTGAACACCAGCCTCCACAATCCCAACGTTCGCGACAAGCCAGGCCTGGAGCGCTTTGTGGCCATGAACCGGGGCATCAATGAGGGCGGGGACCTGCCCGAGGAGCTGCTCAGGGTTAGGCCGCCCTTCCCCTCCCTCAGACCTCCCTCCATGGTCTCCCAGTGCCATCATATCTCCTGGCTGTATGTCTGGGCTACACCCCTCCCACCCACTGCTTGATCATGCCAACTTGCACGTTTTTTTTTTTTTTTTTTCCTCTCTTTTTTCTCCCCATTTGTGGTTGTCTCTCTGTTTCTGTTTGCTGTCTCTCTGGCCTTCCAACCCTTTCAGGGTCTTTGTCTGAGTTTCCATCTGCCTGTCTGTTTCTCCTTCTGAGAACTCGTCAGGCTCTTCTGACTGTTGTCTCTGCTTATTTTGTTTCTTTCTTTCTCCCTCCTCCCCTGGCCCCCTCCATACTTCATGCCTTCCCCTTCCCCCCAGCCTCCTCTTCCTCCTCTGTGGGCTGTCCCTCTGTGATCTTAGTACCCGCCCAGTAGCCTTGGGAGGGTCTCATGGCCTGGAGTGGCTAACCTGACCATCCCTCCTCAGAACCTCTATGACAGCATCCGAAATGAGCCCTTCAAGATTCCTGAGGATGATGGCAATGATTTGACCCATACCTTCTTCAACCCGGACCGCGAGGGCTGGCTCCTCAAGCTGGGTACGTCCCCTCCACACCCCACTGGCTGCCTTTGCTGGGGGTGTTTGTGGGCCTGCGCTCTCAACTTACTTTTCCCACGTAGCTGCTGTGTGACCTTAGGCCAGTGATTTGACCTTTCTTAACCTCAGTTTCCACATCCGAAAAATGGAGCTGAAAAGATAAGACCTGGGAGGGGCCCAGTGTGGTAAAAGCTCCTTAACGTGCCTTCTCTTACCCAGCAAGCTTTGTGGCACTCCTCCTCGGTGTCAGGGACTTACCTAGGCACAGAGAACACAGTGAGGATTAGGTGGCCCAGTCCTTGTCTGGTTAGAGGGGGTTCACTTGGGTGCTTTCAGCTCTAGTTACAGAAAACCCAGTCCAAGAGGTCCAGACGTCCAGCATCTATTATCTCACCTGGCAAGACCCCCAGGGCAGGACCAACTCTGTTCTGTGAGACCCTGGTCAATCCCAGGACCTGTTGACCTCATCATCAGGTCGGTGGCATGGTGGCTGTGCTAGGTGTCACCTCCTCCCAAAACCATCCCCATGAGCAGAAAGACCTTGCCAACGACACCTGTCCCAGAATCCCCCAGGGGAACTTCTCACCAGGTTGGTGAGAATAACTTGGTCTGGCTGGGATGAAGCGAGGGTCCCCTACCAGGACAGGCTGGGGGAGGGGGGCAGGTTCCAGCCCTTCAGGGTCAGTTAGCTCAGATCCTCACAGCCCCCACTTCACAGGCTGGCTGTGAGGATCAGGGGGTTCTTGATCCTGCCTGTACGTGAGAGCCATCAGGGAACTGTTACAGCCCCACAGCCCAGGCCACAGACACATTAAGTCAGAGCCTGTGGGGCAGAATGGGCCATCGGTCATGTTCAAAGCTCTCCAGGGGCTTCTGGTGTGTGGCCAAGGTGGAGAACCACGGGCTTGGAGCAATGCCCGGTGATGGTGGGTGCCACGTGAGTTTCAGCTGTGGCTTTAGAATGGAGAAGCGGGGGATGGCTACTTCTGGGAGACAGACATCTGAGGAAGAGTCAGAGTCCAGTGTGACAGGGGAGCTGCAGGGGGACAGGAGTGTGAGGGGCAGGGGAGAGGGTTCAGAGGAAGCTCCTGGCCCAGCGCAGGCACTCAAGGAAGGGCTGCTCTTCTCTTTTGTGTGTTTGTTGCTAGTTTGCTTTTTTGTTTTCAACTTTTCATTTGGAAATAATTAGGGACAGACAAGAAATTGCAAAAATAGTATAAAGAGATTCTGTGTACCCATCAGGAGCCCTGGTGGCCCAATGGTTAAGTGCTCGGCTGCTAACCAAAAGGTTGGCAGTTTGAACCCACCAGCAGCTCCATGGGAGAAAGATGTGGCAGTCTGCCCTTGTAAAGATTACAGCCTTGGAAATCCCTTAGGGCAGTTCTACTCTGTCACATGGGGTCACTATTAGTAAGAATTGACTCGATGGCAACGAGTTTTTTAGGGTTATGTACCCATCGGCCAGCTTCCCCAAATGGTAATATCTTTTCCAACTGTAGTACATTATCAAAACGAGAGAATCAGCGTTGGCACGATACAATGAACTAAAATATACACTTGTTCAGCTTTCGCCAGTTTTTGTGCACGCTCATTTGGTTTGGTACGTTTTAGCACGTGGATAAAACAGTTGCTGTTGAGTTGAGCCTGACTCATGGTGACCTCATGTGTGTCAGAGTAGAACTGCGCTCCATAGGGTTTTCAATGGCAGAGTTTTCAGAAGTAGATCGCTAGGCCTTTCTTCCGAGGTACCCCTGGGTGGACTCAAACCTTCAGCGTTTCAGTTAGCAGCCAAGCTCAAGTTAACCATTTGCACCACCCAGGGACTCCATGTATTTGCATGAGTGCAGCACCTCCATCAGGATCCAGAACTGATCTGTCACCATGAAGGAATTCCTTTGTGCTGCCCCGTTATAATCACAGCCTCCTTGCCTGTCCTAACACCAGCCACCCTCCATCTGTATCTCTCAAATTTTGTTATTTCAGGAAAGAAAGGCTCTCTTGGGGGCTATGATTTAAAAAAAACCACACTTGTTGCCATCGAGTGGATTCCAACTCACAGCAACTTTACAGGACAGAGAAGAACTGCCCCATAGCACTTCCCAGGCTGGACTGCTTTTGGCTGTGTTGGAGGGAGGCTCAGATGAGGCAGAGGGGACCAGGCGGGACAGGAACAGATGGGAGGCAGGGGCGAGGACGTGGTTTAGATTCCTCTTGAGACCAAATGGTGCTTCTGGCCATGAATGGGCAGGAAAGAGAAAAGCATGAGGGTCAGCTCCCCCAGGAGCTCTCCCCCCTCACAATCACCCTCATAGCAGGAGTTCTCCCCATTTTCTAGACGAGGAAACTGAGGCCCCCAGAAGAAAACCAAACTCATTGCCGCAAAGTCTATTGTGACTCGTAGTGACGCTGTGTGACAGAGTAGAACTGCCCCGTAGGGTTTCTAAGGCTATAATCTTTATGGGAGCAGATTGCTGGGTCTTTTCTCTTGTAGAGCTGCTGGTGGGTTCAAACCGCCAACTTTCGGTTAGCAACCAAGCGCTTAATCACTGTGCCACCAGGGCTCCTAAACTGAGGCCCAGAGCGCAGAATGCCAGTCACCCACTGACAGCCACAGACGGAGGCAGCTGTGGGCCCAGATCACTGGCCAGGGCCACTCTAAGCGCACCTGTCTCCTCTGTGGCAGTTAGAGAGGCACCCCTTCCTTAAAATACTGAAATACGGGAAAGGGAAACTTGTGATGGTTGTGATTCGCAAGGATGATTAACGAAAGCCATTATTAATGTTGTTATTTAATCATTCAGGGACCATAGGGAACCCAGGAGCAGATCCTCTGGCAGCAGGAAGGTGGGGGCCCAAATAGGTTTCCAAACTGCTAGCTTTTCAGACTGGAGTCCAGAGAGGGCAAGTGGATGTCCTAAGGTCACACAGCCAGCTTGGGCTGGAGCCGAGCTGACACACCCACCTCAGGCAAAGGACTGGGGGATTTTGTCTTCTCCCCTTGTGGGGGTGCCCTCTGGGGGAGAGACGTTCCACAGTGGGCACCCCATATCCTGGGCACGATGCAGGAGGTATTCCTGGCCGCCGCCATGAGGGGCTCTGGGTCCATGAGGCTCTGGGTCGTTGGCTCCTGCGGGAGGGAGAGGGTCTGGGCATTCTCCTCATGTGGATGTAACTGGTTTTCTTCCCTCTCTCTCCCTCCCACCCTCTCCCTCTACGTGTTTCTCTCTGCTGTTTCTGTCTGTCTGTCCCACCCTACCCCCTGCACACTCCTTGCCACCTTCTGTCTGTTGCCTTGCTGCTTTTGGGGGTGCCCTTCCTTCTGCCTCCCCCCCTTTTGCGCCTGGTCCTGCCTGCTTTCTTGCTGTCTGCCCCAGGAGGTAGGTACACGCCGCTCCTCATTCTGAAACTCCACAAGGGGTGGGGGCAGCCCAGGCCCAAGGCCCTCAGGGAGGAAGGCTGGGCTGATAAACAGGCTTAGAAATAAGTGAAGTGCCCCAAATGGGGGGGGGGGGATGATTCCAGGGCCCCCACAGGCCTGCCCCGGCTTGCCTGTCTGCCTGAGTGCTGGGCTTTGTCCTAGCCCCCCAGCCTGCCTTTTCTGCTCTCCCTCTGCTTCTCACACCCTTCCTAGCCCTCCCAGAGGCCCTGTCCCCCGGTTGAGCCCAGGCCCCCTCCCACCCCTTCCCTTTCAGGGGGCCGGGTGAAGACGTGGAAGCGGCGCTGGTTCATCCTCACAGACAACTGCCTCTACTACTTTGAGTACACTACGGTGAGGGTGGTAGGCGGGGCCCTGGGGTCCCCGGGAGGAGGGGCTCGAGGTCTGGACTCCTGTGTCTGGGGGAGGAGGGGGCCGTGGCCTGAACTCCTGGGTCTGGGGGAGGAGGGGGCTGTGGCCTGGACTCCTGGGTCTCGGGGAGGAGGGGGTGGGGGACTCAGGACTCCTGAGTCCTGGGGAGGAGGAGGGGTTAGGGGTCAGACTTGGAGTCTGAGGTCTGTCCCACTTGCTGGTTCAGGACAAGGAGCCCCGTGGAATCATCCCTCTGGAGAATCTGAGCATCCGTGAGGTGGATGACCCCCGGAAACCTGTAAGACCCCCTCTATGCCCCTCCTACCATGGTGGAGCAGCCCATGTCCAGCTCTTAACCTGCTGTACCTCCTCTCTCCTTTCTTTCCAGAACTGCTTTGAGCTTTATATTCCCAACAACAAGGGGCAGCTCATCAAAGCCTGCAAAACGGAGGCCGATGGGCGGGTGGTTGAGGGTAATCACATGGTGTACCGGATCTCGGCCCCCACGCAGGAGGAGAAGGACGAGTGGATCAAGTCCATCCAGTGAGCCTGGGCTCTGGGGCCTAGGGGGCCTGGACTCCTAGGTTTGAGGGAGGAGGGGAGTGGGGGCCTGGGCTCCTGGGTCTGATGGAGGAGGGGGCTGGCAGCTGGACTCGAGTCTGAGGGAGGAGGGGCTGGAGACCTGGGTTCTGGGGTCCTGGGGGAAGAGGGGGTGGAGAGCTGGGCTCCAGGGTCTTGGGGGAAGGAGGGGGTGGGGAGCTGGGCTCCGGGGTCCTGGAGGAAGAGGGGGTGGGGATCTAGGCTCCAGGGTCCTGGGGGAGGAGGGGGTGGGGACCTGGGCTTTGGGGTCCTGGGTGAGGAAGGGCTAGGGGTCCAGCCTCCTGGGTCCACACCCTGGGATCCCTCCCCTTCTTCAGGGCGGCTGTGAGCGTGGACCCCTTCTATGAGATGCTGGCAGCGCGGAAGAAGCGCATTTCCGTCAAGAAGAAGCAGGAGCAGCCCTGACTCCTCCTCCCTAACACTATTATTTATTTTGGAGCTGCCCCACCTGGGTGGCCGGACCCCTGGGCCCTGGGGCTGTGGACCCTGGTTCCCCATTTGGAAGATTCACCACCTCTAGCTCCTCTTTTCTCTTGTTATTTGTAATTAACACACTGTTGGTAATCTTATTAATTATTTAACCACTTGAGGTTTGCGCATCCCCTCATTTACTGCAGTTTTCAGAGTTGAGGTACTTGGGTGGCTGGCCAGTCGCAGACGTCTGTGTCTGCTCCTTCTCCGGTGCATGAGGGCAGGGTGCTGTCCAAGGGCGATGTCCACAGGGTCTGTCCTGGTGGGTCAGTTGCTGGGGTGGAGTAAAGCGAGCAGATCAATGTGGATGGAATTAGCATTGAGTTAAAACAGGCCGTTCCAATTTCCAAGGGGAGATTTGGTTTAGAATGCAGGTATACAGAAAGCGAGGTCTAGCATTCATTCTAGAGGTTACTTTGTGAGTCTAGCATTCCTTCCGAGGAGCTCTGATGGCGCAAGGGTGAACCGCTCAGCTGCTAACTGAAACGTTCGAACCCACCATTGGATCTACAGGAGAAAGACCTGGCAATCCGCTCCTGTAAATATTACAGCCTAGGGAATCCAGGGGGCAGCTCTACTCTTGTCACGTGGGGTCGCCATGACTCAGAATGGACTGAGGGCATCTAACAGCAAGAGCATCCATTCCAGACATGAACGTTTCTTCTGTATCTGCTGCATGATGCGCTCCCATGGAGACCGCCTGAGCCGGTGGATGCCGTCCCCACATTTGCTCTCACAGAGCTCTGTGGTCTCTGAGGGGCGGCACGTAGTAGCTGATGGGGCTGTGAGCTGTGCTGAGTGCTTTGAGGGGAAGCTAGGCAGCTCTAAGAGCTTCTAAAAGGGATCTTCTCTGGGAGGGTCGCGAAAGGATGAATCTAGTGAAGGAAGGAAGAGGGCCCAGAGACTGGAATGCGAAGCGCTTGTTAATGCCATAGCCCTAGGCGGGGCGGTGTGATTGGGGCACAGCAAAAGGGATCTAGTCTCAAAAGTAGGGTGGGGGCGGGCTTGAAGGTGTGGTGGGCGGTGATTCGGGCAGGCTTGGAGCTGAGAGAGCCGGACTGTCAGCCAGGGTGGGATTGAGCAGCATTTCTCTGCGAGCAGAGGGTCAGCGTCCTTTGGAGGACACTCTAAGGATAGGCCTGGGAACCCGCATTTTCAGCAACTTTCCCTGACCCCTTTCCCGGGAATGTGACACCCTCAAAAATGTAAAGACCGTTTTCTTTGAAGATAGAGCCTTGAAGGTGGGATACCACTGAGCCCCACGTTTGGGCCTGGCTGGCCTTCTTTGCCTCCAGCTGGAGGCCCACATGGTGTCTCCAAACAACGAGGGCTCGCAGATCCTGCGAGCTCCCAGGTCACTTTCCCACATCCAGCGTTGGCGCTGACGAGGCCGCTCGTAAAAAGAAACTACAACTCCCGGCAGCGCCCGGGACCAAAAAGCGACAGGAAAAGACGCTTGTTGCCCCCGTGCGTGCCGGGGGTTGTAGTTCTTCCCGTGCTTTGCGCCCTCGAGCAACACCTCACCCCCCAACCCCTCCCTACATGGGTGAGGAGAGTCACGAATCCCGGCCCTGACCTTGCCCACAGGCACCCACTGGCGTGAAGGGCCCTGATGCGCAATAACAGTGCTTCCACCCTCGAAGGCGTTGTCCCCGCCAATGAGACAGCGGAGGACTACGATTCCCGGCAGGCTCTGCGAAGCTAGCCGCCCCACTGATGGGGCAGGTAGTTTCGCAGTCTCTTGGGAGTCGTAGTTTCTCAAGATTTCGTTGCCGGGTTTACTTTGGCCTGGTCCCTTAGCCTTCTTGAGGTTGGCAAAAGAGGTCCCGACTGCTTCAACCCCTAGGGGCTGATGAGAAATGGAGTTCCCAAATTAGGAAATGAATTCTCAACTTTTCCCAAAGATGCAGGGAAATGAGTCACCCAGCCCAAGAAGGTCATGGGGAAAATGAAAACAAAAATCAAATAAGTAGCCCTTGAGTCGACAGTGACTCATGGCGACTCCATGTGTTTCAGAGTAGAACTGTTCTCCATGGGATATTCAATGGCTATGACCTTTCAGGAGTAGGTCACCAGGCTTTTTCTGAGGAGCCTCTGGGTGGATTCCAGCCTCCCACCTTTTCAGTTAGTAGCTGAGCCTTAGCTATTTGCACCACTCAAGCGAAATGAGTTCCCCGATGAAACCCACTCTGTCCCACCTCCTCCCTAAAGTGAACCTACTGATATTGAGTACCTACTAACTGAAGAAGTAGCAGGCTCTATGGAAACGCCCTGAAGAGCACTCCAGGCGGAGGGAACAGCTTATGCTGAGGTCCTTGGAAGCAGGAAAAGTTATGATGTGGTGGAGTAGCTGACAGCCGCCGGCATGCCTGTATGGTAGTGATGGAGGTGGGGTGTGCTAGCAGATGAGGTAAGAGGGTGGCCTGGGCCCAATCATCTGAGGCTGGTCAGCCACAGCAGGGCCTTCAGATGTATTCCTAGTAGCATGGAAAGCCATCCGAGGGCGTGAAGCAGGCGTGTGATGTGTTTGGGTAGACATTGTAGGGAGGTGCTTCCAGCTGCGGCAAGGAGAATAGTTTAGAGGTGAGCAGGGGTAGAGCAGAGGAGCCCTGGCAGTGCAGTAGTTAAGCGTTTGGCTGCTAACTGGAAGGTCAGTGGTTCGAACCCGCCAGCCACTCTCGGGAGTAAGGTGTGGCAGTCTCCTTCCATAAAGATTTACAGCCTTGGAAAACCTATGGGGCGGCTGTACTCTGTCCTACAGGGTGGCTATGAGTCAGAATTGATTGGATGGCAATGGGTTTAGGGGAGAAGCAGGCAGATGAGTCAGGAGGCTGTTGCAGCCATCCAGTACAAGATGGTGTGGTTGTAGAGGCGGAGAGGAGTGAATGCATGTGAGACGTGCTGAAGGAGGAGCCCACGGGACTTGCCGAGGGCGGGGTCAAGAACTTCGGGACACAGGGCTGAGCAACTGGAGCATGGTGTTGCCATGCACTGAGATGGTCAACAAGGGATTATTATTATTATTTTTTTTTTTTTGGTGGGGGGGAGGCGTGGAATCAATGGTTCTTTTTTGGCCAAGTTAAGCTGGAGATGCCTGTGGAACCTCCAAGCCAGACTCCAAAAACAAAAACACGCCCTTTGCTGTTGAGTCGATTCCCACTCATAGTGACCCCATGTAACAGAGTAGAATTGCCCCATTGGGTTTTCTAGGCTGTAATCTTTACAGAAGCAGATCACCAGGCCTTTCTCCCACAGTACCACTGGGTGGGTTCAAACTGCCAACTTTTAGGTTAGCAACCAATTGCAACCACATGCACCATTCAGAGACCTCAACCAGACTCCAGTCACCTCAGAATTGTCCCACAATCCTGTCTTTTCCCCAAGGACTGAGAATTCTGGCTTTCAGCTCCCTCCTCACCTACATCCAGGAGTCTAGGTCCCTGGCCCCCTCCTCCCTCAGACCCAGGATTCCAGGCCCTTGGCTCCCTCATCCCTCAGACCCAGGTCCAAACTCCCACCCCCTCCTCCCTCAGACCCAGGAGCCCAGGCCCCCAGCCCCCTCCTCCCTCAGACCCAGGGGTCCAGGACCCCACCTCCCTCCTCCCTCAGACCCAGAGGTCCAGGCCCCCAGCCCCCTTCTCCCTCAGACCCAAGAGTCCAGACCTCTCCCTGCCTTGGTTCCATACAGCACCACCCCAGAAAGGTATGTCACAAGATTAGTTCAAGCACCACCAGGCCTGCCAGCAGTGGCAGCAGTGGGAAGAGGGGAAAACCTAATCCTCTCCTTCCTTTCTGCCCCCCCACTCTCAGTTTACGTGACCTAACACCTTCATCTCCATAATTCCTAAGACAGGAGCCCACAGCTTGCCAGCCTGGTACCCGCTCCTTGCTCTGTCCCTCTCCCTTCATCCAAACCTCCTCCCTGAAATATGCAAATGAACTTGATACCGAGGTGATGGGGGCAGGTTGAGGACAAGAGATCAGAGTCGACAAGACAGACCCACTCAGAGGGACAAAGACAGAGGCGGCGGCAGGAACTGTCAGAGTCCAGGAGAAATCCAAAAAAGACAGCGACGAAGAAGAACAATGGGCAGAAGGACATAATAGAGACAGGAGGGTAACAGGGAGCGACACAGACAAGAAACAAGTGGAGACGGGGAGAAACTCAGACGAGGAAATAGAAATAGAACTCGACAGGGGGAAGGAGGCTGAGGAAAAAGACCTGGATGGAGACGTGGGAAAAGATGAAGACAGGTCAACGCAGACAGAAGGTGGACAGAAACGACAGAGGAGACAAAACTGGGGCAGGGCGAGACAGACAGCTAAGACTGCTGCTGTTAGGCGCCGTCGGGTCAATCCTGACTCATGGCGACCCCATGTGTGTGCAGAGTAGAACTGTGCTCCACAGGGTTTTCAAGGCTGTGATCTTTTGGATTGCCAGGCCTTACTTCTGAGGCACCTCTGGGTGGGTTTGAATCACCAACCTTTTGGTTAGTAGTCTAGCACTTAGCCATGTGAGCCACCCAGGGACTCCTAGGGAGAAAAGGAGAAATGTGGCTGGAGAGGCGCGGTCAGGGAGGAGGGTAGTCATATGGAGAAACAGGTAAACTGAGGCAGAGCCACCCCCAGGCAGGGAGGCAGAAGCTGACCTTTGGGGAATAACAACAGAACATGGTTGACAGTTTCTGGCCACCACCACCACACCCTCTTGTGGAGAGAGGGCCCTGACTATACCCCTTCCTCCACCCCCACCCTCACTGGCTCCTTGATGCCTCTTGTTCTTAAAGTCAAGGCTGCAGCTGAAGTCGGGTGATGCAAACACCAGACACAGAGAAGCTGGGGCCTCACAACAGGCATTTCTGGTCTCTGAGACTCCATGTCCCATCCGTCAACTGGTGCCGTGAGGATGGAATGTTCTGGATGGTTCTGGCTTCTCCTGGGCAAGCACCTGACTCCCCACATCCCTCCCCCCACAACCCTGAAACACACACAGGCCCTGCGTTCCTCCAAAAAGTTGTTTTGTCTTTTTTAAATAATGTGAAAATGCCACGCGCAGGTTTGGACCAGAGGCCCCTCCAGGGGCCAGGCTGGGGAGGAGAAAGGGAGGCGCGAGATAGGGGAGTCCAGGTCCCCAAAGCCTGCAGCCCCTCTCTGGGGCTGGAGTGGGTGAGGAGAGGCCTCCACTGTGCCCAGGGGCTCCAGGCCCAAAAGAGTTCAATTCAGTTCCGAGAAGGGTGCCTCTCCAGGGAGGGATGAGGGGCTTCCTGCCTCATTTGGCACCAAGGGGGTCGGGGGGGTCAAGGGAGCTATCTGGGGGGCTGGGGGGGGGGGGGCCAGGGCCTCCCGTTTGGCACATGGTGGGGGAAGGGGAGGGCCCCTCCTCAGGGGCCTCCCCAGAGGCGGCTTCTGCGGTGGTGGCAGTGGCTCCGTCGTCCACAGAGGTTTCTACTCTCAACCCCTCTTCTGGGGGTGCTGGGGGGTCAGGTCTTCGGGGAGTCAGTTCTCCACAGGGCCTGAGGATGCAGGAAGTGGAGAGAAAAAGGGAATTACGGGGTGGACAGGCTCATTGCTTCCACCTCACTCAGAGTCAAAGTAAAGCCCTCACCGTGGCCCATACAGTCCCACAGGATCTGTCTCTGGCCCCTCTCCGCCCTCACCTCCGGTCCTTTCCCCCTTGCTCTCTTGGCTCTGGCTCCAGCCGACACTGGGCTCCTCCATGTTCTTCCAACACTCCAGGCACAGTCCTGCCCCAGGGCCTTTACCCTTGCTGTTACCACTGCCTGGAACACCCTCCCCATGTAACTCAGGCCCTGCTGGATGTCCCCCGCCTCAGACACCTGCCCGGACCTTTCTTAGTCAGTCATTCCATCACTGCCTGGGTAATTCTATCACATTCCACTCTGATGATTTTTCTGCACATTTATCTTTATGGAATAATCTCAGGCATTGTTGAAGAGTTTCCGGTTGGTCTGCTCCCTCCTCCCAATGTCAGCTCCCTGAGGGCGGGGATCATGTTTTGGTCATTGCTGCATAAAGTGCCCTTCTCCCTCATGGAAAAATCTCTCCCCATGAGCCCCTACCAATTTTCCCATGACTCCTCCTCCAGCCTCCCACAGTGGAATGAAAGCCCTCGCCATTCCACAGATCCAGAAAACCAAGATCTGCAGGGTGAAGGCCCTCCCACCAAAGGCTCTCACTGTCTACCCCATCCCTGGCTCCACCAACTGCCAC